TCGCACCTCTCCTCCCTAGCCGACTAAACTCCCTTTTCCGAAGGCAGTATGAGCGGTGGTCAGAAATGGCCGCCACAAAGAAGCGCTCAGAAAGTGCAGGAGGAAGTCAAGAAGTGAAAGGTTTTTTTTGGCTGACCAGGACAAAGTAACAATGAAGGTACCCTGGAACTTAAAATTTGCAAAAGATATATCGTTCCCAGAGACTTACAAGTGGCGGATGAAAGTTAAAAGGGAAGGAACTCCAACTATGGGATCCAGGAGAAGAGCCTTTCCTGCTGTAGTGCTGGCCCTCTGGAACATCCTGCCCCCCCCCCCCCGAGTGAGATTCACCCCCACCCTTCTATCCTTTCGTGAGGGCCTAAAGTCCTGACTGCTTGCTAGTTGGCCTGGGGACCAAATGGGAGAGTACATCACTAAAGGTGGTTGCTGGACTTAAGTAAGGACCTCACTGGCCCCCTGTACTTCCTGCTCCACCTCCCCCACTCATCTTTTTAACTTTGTATTGTTGTACTTCCATTGTTTACATTTATTATTTTATTCCTTTAATATTGTATTTTAATCACTATTTTACTGTTGTAAGTAACTTAGTATATGATAAGATGGGTGGCAAATTTATCAAATGAAATTAAGTATAATATATATATATATAAGTATGTATGTACAGATACAACCACTATAACCATTCATTTAGTGACAGTTTGGAGTTAAAACAGCACTGAAAAAAGTGACTTATGATTGTTCATGGCAGGGGTGTCAAACTGGATTTCTTTAAGGGCTGGATCAGCATTGTACTTCTCCTCCATGGGCTGGCTGGGGAGGGGGTGAGACAGATGGGACAGACACCTTCTGCAGCACCCTGCAGGCCAAAATGGGGTGCGGGGGGGCCATCCATGCCCCGTTCTCGACCTTGACAGCCTCCAGCACCCTGCTAGGCAAAACGGGGCGCTGTTTTGGCTGCCAGAGGCACCACGGTCTGGTCCTTTGCTATTTCCAGGCTGGCCCTGCAGGCCAGATTTAAGCACCCCTGGTCTATGGAGATTCTCAGTCATCCAGGTCACAGTTGTCCCCAAAGTACCTTTTTAAGAGGCAACTGAACGTTCTCATTTTTCTTTGAAGACGTTTCATTTCTCATCCAAGAAGCTTCTTCAGTACACTCTGAATAAGACAGATTAATTTCACAATGAGCTGAAGAAGCTTTTTGGATGAGAAGCGAAACATCTTCAAAGAAAACCCAGAAAGTCCAGTTGCCTCTTGAAAAAGCACCTTTGGGATGGCTTGTTTTTCACACCTACAACTATTGCAGCATCCCCATGGTCATGTGATCAAAATCCGGATGTTTGGCAACTGGTTCCTATTTGTGACAGTTACAGTGTACCGGGGTTGTGTGATCCCCTTTTACAACCTTCTGACAAGCAAAATCAGTGGGGAAGCCAGATTCACTTAACAGCTGTGTTATTAACTTAATAACTGTAGTGTTTCACTTAACAAAAGTGGTAAAAAAGGTCGTAAAACGGGGCAAAACTCACTTAACAATGTCTTGTTTCGCAACATAAATTTTGGGCTCAATTGCAATAATAAATCAAGGATTACCTATATCAATAAACGTGGCTTGAAATTCTGAGAATTGTAATCCTTACACATCTGGATGGCATCAAGTACTTGGTGAATTAATAAAGTATATATTCAGGCCACATCCAAGGGTACTGATTGCTCTCTTGGGACTCAATAGTAAGGAGCAATAGAATTTGATGCCCTTCATTTTGTAGATTATAATTTGTAATTCTATTGACTGCTACCAATGGTTTTATTTAGCTGTTGAATAGATAGGAGAGAGATACACCATTTCACTTAAGAATACATTTACTCCTGTCCCATATCTGATTTAGTATCACTCTCTAGGCACCTTCACTGACCAAGTAGGACAAAGATGGGTGGCAGAGTTAATATTGAAGAGGACTATGTCCGTTTCATCAGAATCCATAGATTCCCACAACCCCAAATAAGTTTGATTTTTTGTGCTGCTCATCTCAAAGCAGTGATTCGGGGGAGAATACAAATTGCAACAGCAGTTCTTCGGTGGTCTAAATGTCTAAGGTTAAGATAGTAATTCCAATCTGTATAAAAAAAAACAAATTTAATCCATAGAGCTCATGGTGCCTGGGAGAACAGTCAGGTCCTCAGAGAATTACAAAGGTTAAATTCTTCATGGTGGCCCAGCTAAGAATCTTCCAGTTATCAGGTTTTTTTAGGGAACTGAATAACTGTAAACAATGCTTGTTGGGTGGTTTTCCATGGTTGAAATAAGAGCAGAGAAGTAGCTCGTTTTACTTCTCTTAGCTTCACAGCATAGGCTGAACAGTCATGTCTGTGTTGGATCACATTCATTCTTCATCTTATACCAAGGTTGTTTTAGAAGTTTCTTCTGTCATGTTCCAATGGCTGCTCCACTCCCATTCCCAAAGGTGATTTTTCAAGAGGCAACTGGACTTTCTGGTTTTTCTTTGAAGACGTTTCGCTTCTCATCCAAAAAGCTTTTTCTCTACTTCTGAAGCGAAACGTCTTTCAAGAAAAACAAAAAACTCCAGTTGCGTCTTGAAAAAACACCCTTGGGACAACCATGACCTGAATCAGGGATCGCCAAGCTTTTGGACCTCAGGGACCACCAAACTCATAATTTTAAATCCCGCAGACCACTAATATGAATTTTGACTGACTGTGGCTTGCTGACGTTGGTGGGAAAGTCGGTCCCATATTCCAGAGCTGCAGTAGTCACAGGACTGGCCCTTTGGTCATCCCGGAGCATCTGCTCCTCCCCCTGGGTGCACCGGCCTGCCATGGAGGAGCTGCTCCAGGATGACCAAAGGGCCAGTCCTGTGACTACTGCAGCTCTGGAATATGGGATCGACTTTCCCACCAACGTCAGCAAGCCACCCTGGGGCTGATCTCCCTCCCCTGCCATTCCTCTTACCTTCCAGTTCCAGCTCGCATGGCTCTACTCAAGGTAAAGTTTACACTCGGCTGAAGGGTGGAGGCCAGCAGGTGGGCAGGCCATGTGGGTGGTGCAGCCTTGTGTTCTTGTGCAGCCTGGATTAATTGCTTGGGGGGGACATTTCTCTGCGGACCACCAAAATTTTCTTGCCAACCACCAGTGGTCCCTGCCCACCAGTTGGCGACCACTGACCTGGTGTGACTCAGTATCTCCATAGACATCCATCCCCAGTCATGTGATCACATTTCAGGCATTTGAAAACTGGCCTGCATTTATGGCCATTTGCAGGGTCCTGCAGTCACATTACTATATATATGTTTTTTACTGCTTTTACTTCCAATTTTTGGCAACAATATTCCATAGGGAACAAAAAGTTCACTTAACTATAGTGAACTTTAACTATTGGTGCAACCCTCCCCCCCATAAAATTGCGTGGATCGTATGATGCTCTGATTTACGACCATCACAACTTATGATGAGCAGGTTCCATTACACTCATATTGAGGACTCCCTGAAGGTCCTTCCTCTATATGGAGGCCCATGATGCTTGTTAATTCTGTGTTAACTAGTGAATAATCATGGTAAGGGGCTGGTGGAAATGTCCTGCATTCAGATCATGTTTAACTTGGGTTAATTAAAGTTTTAATGGCTAAGATGTTGAGCTTGTTGACCAGAAGGTTGGCAGCTCAAGACCCAAGCACTATGTTTCTGTTGCTCCCTTTGGAGAGGAGGTTTTGAAGTATTTCTAGCAGGACTTCCAGATTCTGTAACAGCTTTGTTCCCTGTGCCGTCCGTCTGGTAAACTCACAAGATTTGTTTTTCTCACCATCTATACATCCAAACTAGACTGTGTTGTTTCTCTCAGTCATATAATATATGTGGTATATACATATTCATTCATTCGGCCGGCCAGCCAGCCAGCCAGCCAGTCATTTCATGTTTATGTAGTGTATATTGGAGATGATGACCCTTTGAGAGCTGTATGCAACAAAGTATGTATGCCAATTTTAATGTATGCCGATTAGTGTACATTCAAAGTGACATTAAAGTTTATAGTGTAGAAATTAGCTCATTTTGTAAAGAATTAAAACAGGCCACCTCTTTGAATTAAATTCTGCTCAAGTTGAGGACCCTTTCCATGAACTTAGTACATCTTAGTACACTTTAGCATCATTAAGTATTGGTGGGAGAAAATTTTTATTTAAAGAGCAAATTACTCTGCTTTCGAAACAGAAATTGCTTTCCTTTGGAATAAACCAGAATTATAAGTTACATCTAGCATTGGCTTTATTCTCTACAAGTAGCTCTTGACCAATGACCATAACAGCGCCTGCCAATCATGACTGTTGTAATATACATCGGTACATCCGCATCAAAGATACAATTTTACAACCTTTTTTACAACAGTAGTTAAATGAATGTTGCAGTTGTAAAGTGGCTGCTGTGGTCATTAAACAAACTTGGTGGTTGTTAAGTGGACCATAGCGTTCCTGTAGGCACACTTTTGCCAATAACTGGATGTAAATGCCATGTTTGAGAAAACTCAGCCTAACCTATAGGGCTTTTATTGAAGGGAAAATATGATGAGGAAGATATGTTTGCTTCCCTTTTTTGTAAAAAAGGTGAGATATAAATCAACAAAACTCGTAAAATGTGTTCACATGACTGCAGCACATTGGAAGTAGCCATAAATGTGGCTCAGTTGAAAGCACCCAAAGGTCACATGACTGCGGGGAGGGACAACCATTGTGACTTCAAATCTGGATCCTAAGTAGCTCCCGGGTAGTTCAGTGGTCACTAACTGGTTGTAAGTTGAGGACTACCAATAATTTATTTTAATATACAAATGGGAGTTTCTCACTTTCTGAAAAATGAAATCACTCTCATTTTAGTCTGCATTATTGCTGAGATCCTCAGGTATATTTGGGGTAAAATAGAATGACATTGACTTAAATGATGAAATTTTTCCACTGTTTTGAAGTACTGACTGTATCTCTTTTCTTTTTTCTAGTGAATTGGATGATGACTTACTAGGAGAAGATTTGTTGATTGGCAAAAAGGTAAAAATCAGCCTGTTTAAAATATATGCTTAAGACAGTTGTTAGTTTAAAAAATACCATATTTTTCAGACTATAAGACGCACCTAGGTTTACAGGAGGAAAACAAGAAAAAAATAGTTTTTTGACTCCATGCGTCCTGTTTTTTCTCTCCTTGGCATCCAGAAGCACTCTGCAGGCCAAAAACTGGCCCATATTCGCTCTGTAAAAGAGACATTTCCACCACTTTTTTGGAGGGAAAGAATGTGTCTTATAGTGCAAAAAAAAAATGGCAATTTGATTACTTAAACCCACATCAATACAACTCTTGATGGTTTAGAATCATCTGTCACTTGCTGGTCCGGTAAAGAAATTCAAATGCCATGCTGGAGGCTTGCCTGTTTATTTTATATCACTTCATTTTTATTACCATTCATATTCATTTATGTCTTTTTTTTTAAGTAAAAGTTTTATTAATTTTAACAACAAACAAAAAACACATAAAACATAAAACATAACATAAAAACATCATCATCCTTCATAAATTTACAGACAGTGTATCGGTTGGTTTACCACTCCTTTTTGTGCATCCATTTCATAGTCATAGTAATTATATTACATAATAAGTCATATTATCAATCAACAATTATATATCCTAATATCATTATTAAACAATCATTTGACTATAATTTTACTAATTCATACTTAAGCGAGATAACTATAGTTTAGTTAATTTATTTTCTAACAAATCATAAAATCATACCAAGTCTATCTTAATAAAATATTATCAAAATATTATCAACCCCCCCCCCCCCAAAAATGTATATTCATTATTTCCTAGGTTTCTAAATATTTTATTATTATATTGTATTATCTAACCATTGATAAAAAAGATCCCAAACTTCATAAAATTGTTTATCTTCTTGTTCTCTAATTTCAAATGTCAATCTACTCATTTCAGCACATTCCAATATTTTCTTAATAACTTCTTCTTCTAATGGTATTTTCTCATTCTTCCAATTTTTAGCAAATACAATCCTAGCCGCTGTTAATACATTTACAATCAAATACTTTAAGTTTTTATTATATGTATCAGGTAAGATTCCCAATAAAAAAATCTCTGGTTTCAAATCTATATGCTTCTTTGTCATTTTTTCCAACCATATGCGAATTCTAGTCCAATATTTTCTAGCGTCCTCACAAGTCCACCACATATGGTAATATGAGCCAGGTATCTGATGACATTTCCAGCACTTTTCAGATTTATTCTTGAACATTCTTGCTATTCTTGTCGGGGGAAAATGCCACCTGTAAAACATCTTATACAAATTTTCTTTATATGCTGTTGACATTGTCATTTTATAATTTTGAGACCACAATTTTTGCCATTTCTCTAAATCAATCCCATATCCAAAATTCTTCCCCCAAGCAATCATTGTTTCTTTAACCTGTTCTTCCTCTAATTTAATTTCCAACAAATAATTATATAATTTTTTGATCACTTTTTCATCAGTACCTGTCAAAATCCTATCTAAACCAGTCAATTTATCATAGAATCCTTCCATTTTAGAATCTTTAAGATACCTTGAATGTATTTGCGCATATGAAAACCAATTCATCTTTATGCCTTGTTCTTCTAAATTTTGCATCGTTTTAAGTTCACCCTTTTCATCTAATAATTCCCCATATCTAACTGTTTGTTCCTTCTTATAGATTATAGGATAAGAAAAAGCTTCAATAGTTGATAACCAAACTAGGATTTTCAAATAACATTGTTTCTTAGTTTTCTCCCAATTCAACCATAACGATTCCCGTATACAATGCCTTCTAAAGTAACCCTGTGATTTAGTTCCCTTATACCATAAAAAAGCATGCCAACCCAATAATAAATCATGTCCTTCTAATGCCAACAATCTGGTCTTTCTTAACATTATCCATTCTTTAGCCCACATTAAGTTTGCAGCTTGATAATACAACTCCCAATTAGGGAGGCCAAATCCTCCTCTAGTTCTAGCATCCTGTAAAAGTTTTAATTTTATTCTCGCTTTCTTACCTTGCCATATATACTTCAACACAATTTTATTCAGTTCTTCAAAGTAATCCTTACCTAACCTAATTGGTATTGTTTGGAACAAATACAAAATTCTAGGTAAAATATTCATCTTAATTGTTGAAATTCTACCTATCAATGACAATTGTAGGTTTTCCCATTTTTTTCAAATCAGATGCTATCTGCTGTTTAAGTTTAATATAGTTATTCTCTTTCAGTGTAGTACATCTTGACGTCAAATATATCCCCAAATATTTAACTTTGTTCGTAACTTGAATTTTCAATAAGTCTGCCAGCTCTTCTCTTTGTCTTAACAGCATGTTCTTTGTCAAAATCTTTGTTTTATCTTTATTTATTTTCAAGCCAGCCATCTCACCGTACATCTCTATCTTTTCCAATAGTTTTAAAGCTGTCTCTAGAGGATCTTCCAAAATAAAAACCAAGTCATCTGCAAAGGCTTGCAGTTTAAATTCCTCCTTTTTAACTTTCATTCCTTTTATGTTTGTATCCTCTCTAATATTTCTATTTAGCACTTCCAAAGTCAATATAAATAACAAAGGAGATAATGGGCATCCTTGTCTTGTACCTTTTTTAATATTAATAGAGTCTGTAAATTCTCCATCTATCATTACTTTTGCCGTTTGCTTATAATATATGGCTTCTATTGCTTGGATAAATTTTCTAGCAAAGCCCATCTGTTCCAATAATAATAACATAAATCTCCAATTCACATTATCAAATGCCTTTTGGGCATCTAAAAATATCAAAGCCATTTGTTTTTCAGGGTGCGCCTCATAATATTCCAATGTGTCCAGGATTACCCTCATATTGTCTTTAATTTGTCTCTTTGGTAAAAATCCATTCTTATCAGGGTGAATGAAGTTGTTTAAGTATTTTTTAAGCCTCTCTGCCAAGATTGAAGCAAAGATTTTATAATCTGCATTCAATAAGGAAATAGGTCTATAGTTCTTAATTTGTAGTGGGTCAACCCCTTCTTTTGGGATAAGTGTAATATAAGCTTCTGACCATGTTTTAGGTATTTTCTTGTTTATCATAACTTCATTCATGACTTCTAACAGTGAAGTGCTCAACGATTCTTGTAATGTTTTATAAAATTCTGCCGGGAGACCATCTGGTCCTGGTGCTTTTCCATTGTTCTGTCTGTTAAGTGCTTCGGTTAGTTCCATCATTGTTATAGCACTTTCTAACATTTTCCCAGTTTCATCAGATATCTTAAGTAGGTTAGCATTTTGTAAATACTGTTTAATTTTTTCCTCATCAAGATCCTCCTGTTTATATAATTGTCCATAGAAATCTCGAATAATTGCCTTTTTCTCTTTATTACCATAACAAATTTGACCTTGATGTCTATTAACTGTAATATTTTCCTTGATTCTTTCTCTTTTCTCAATTTATATGCTAACCATCTACCTGGCCTATTTGCATCTTCAAAATAGTTCTGTTTAGCACTTCTAATTTTTTGTGCCAGTTCTTCTTTCTCTACTTGATCCATTTTATGTTTGATTATATCCATTTTGAGTTTAACATTTTTTTTCTGTGGCGTTTTCTGTAATTCTTTTTCCAGTTTTTTATGGTCATCTTCTAAAGCTTTAATCATTTGCCTCTTCCTAATGTTCTTTTTCTTTGTATAGTCTGTTATTAATCCTCTTGCATATGCCTTCATTGTATCCCAAACATTCTGTATTGAAGTATCTTCTTTTTTATTTTCATTAAAGAAGAAGGCCAATTCTTTTTCCATCCATTGTATAAAGTTTTTTTCCTTTAAAATAGTATTGTTTAATGTCCATCTAGATCTTCTTTTTTGTCCTTTCCATTTAATTGTCATTGGATTGTGGTCTGCCCATGTACTTGTTTCAATATTTATTTCTTGAATATTGGATAATAATTCTGTTGATGTCCAAATCATATCTATTCTGGACCATGATAAATGTCTATTGGAATAAAAAGTATATTGTTGAATTTTAGCATTTCTTTCTCTCCATGTATCTTTTAAGTTTTATTCATCTGTCATTTTAAAAAAGGATTTAGGAAGAGTCTTCCTATTTTGTCGTGTTGCTTTTGCTGTATAGTCCAGTTTATTGTCTACAATTCCATTGAAATCTCCCATCATAAGTATATTAACATAGTCCAGTCCAATTATTTTCATGTGTAATTTTTTATAGAATTCTTCTTGTTTATCATTCGGGGCATAAATTGCAACCAAGAGCGTTTATGTATTATTATCCACTATTTCAACCATTAATACTCTTCCGTCTTCATCAGTATAAATCAGTTTTGCTGGAATGGTTTCTCTAACGTACAAAACCACTCCTCTTTTCTTACAGTGAGTCAGAGAAGTAAATATTTTCCCTAATTTTGATCGTGCCAGTAATTGTTCGTGTTGTTTTTTAATATGTACTTCTTGTAGACAAATTATATCAAATTTTAGCTTCTCTAATTTGTGAAAAAAATTTCTTCTTTTGGTAGCTGAATTCAGTCCATTTATATTCATGGAAATCAGTTTTTTTTCCTCCATGGTTATGCTTTATATTTAGGTCTAACAGCTCTCGTGGATCTTACTTCACGTTGTTCTTTGGTCTCCACCTGTCCACCTATTGCGCCTACTTCTTTTCCCGTTCCCATTTGGTCCTCTTCAAATTCAGTTAAAATGTTCTCTTTTTCCATCTCCATTTCTCTTCTTTCAAAAAATTCCTTGTAGAATGTTTCTGCTTTCTCAATTGAATCAATTCTATGTCTCTGTTCTTGCCATGTAAACATTAATCTTTCTGGAATCAGCCATCTATAATTCACCTCTTTTTTCAATAGTATTTTGGTCAAAAATCGATATTCTCTTCTAATCTCTCTCACTTTTCTGGGTAGTTGTTTTAAAACCACAATCTCTTTGTCTTTGTATTTCAACACCTTCTCTCTTGCCACTTGTAATATTTGAGTTTTAATAGTTTTTTTGGTGAATCTGACATGGACCTCTCTTGGTAGTTGGTTCCTCATCGCATATCTTGTGAAGACTCGATATATCTCATCTACCCCATCCATCATCTTTTCCTCTGTTATTTCCAAGGCTCCAGCCAAGATTTCAATCATTACAGCAGCCAAATTTTGTCCTTTTTCTTCCTCAATATTTTGGAATCTAAGGTAAAATTCTGACCTGTCCATCTCCCACTTCAACATCTCACTTTTTCCTTGTTCAACCGTTGTTAATCTACTATCAATATTTCCAATTATGCCATCTCTTTGCTTATCTTTCTCTTCTATTTTTTGGATTCTCTCATCATGTTTCACCATCATCTGTTGAACATTTTCAGATTTTTCATCAATCTTCCCAATTCTTTGGTCAATACTCTCCATTCTTTGTTCCATACTCATTTTTAGTTCTTGTATTCCTTGCATAACCATCGCTAAATCCACTTGTGCTTTATCTTGTTTCGCCATTATTGAAAGTCGTCCTCCAGTTGATGGGGAGACAGAAGCAGAAGTCGAAATGCCCAAAGATAAAATTTTCTTACTCATTCCGTGGCTCAGAGTCTTCCGGCTCTTTTAATCCAATTAATAAGGTAGCCAATTGTAATCCAATTAGGAAAAAAGAAAACACCAAAAAGAAAAAAAAGCCAGTAAAAAGTAAAAAAGTAAAAAGCCCAAAATTAGGAAAGAGGAATTCTTCAGGTTCTTCAAGACCTTAATCCAGCTGTAAAATACTCAATTATAGTTCAAAAGTAAAAATTAAAAATAAAGAGAAGAAAAAGACAAAATAAAGCCCAACAATATTAAAAAGTAATAAGCAAAAAAAAAAAAAAAGGAGTTCTTCAGGTTCTTCTCACCTTAATCCAATTAAAAGACCTCAAAAAATGGAAAATAACCATAAAAATAAGTCTAAAGTAGAAATAAAGAGGCAAATATCCCAATTAAAAAACAAACAAAAAAAAAAAAACAAATATCCTGAGGCTTCTCGTTTAAAAAAAATAATAATAATAAGGTAAAATAAAAAATAAGTATACCAATATTACAAAATATTGTGGGGTTAGAGGGGAGGGATAAACCAGTAAATAAAAAATGGAAGCACACACTGCCTTTTATTTATCCAAGTCTCTTATTTGGCTTCTCCACAAATTTCAAGGCCAAGCTTCAAATATTCAATTGATAATAGAAGTCCCAAAGAGCACCTGTATAAACATCCTCCAGCGCTCTTCCCTCTATCTTATCACTTCCAGTAGCCTTGAAAAGAATTTTTTTTCCCAGCTCTCAACTTCAAATAAAATATTTTCAAGCCTCTAGTTGGCAGTGTTGCAAAATTTCTTAAAGCCTCTCCCCACTTCTTTCCCCCTAAAAAAGCCTAAAAGAAAAGAAAAAAGTATATATATATGTTTATGTATATTTTAAAAAAAAATACTAAAGGGAGCCTCTATTTTATATAATATAAACAGTTAAAAAGGGGAAAAGAAAGCAAGTAAATATAAAAGAAAAAACCAGTCTGATTAACTAGATCGCAATAGAAGTTCAGTGAAGAGGAAAAAAAAGTAAAAATAAAAAGCCAAGCCTCATTTTGACATTCTTAAAGAAAAAAATCGCCGCTAAGTCAAATTTTGTCAAGAATTTTACAGATTCCTTCTCATTTTAGGGTGTCCCTAAGTCCCAAGTAAAAAAAAAAAGTATCCTCACCAGCCGATACACTTTCTCTTTGTCTCTTCCTTCCGGAGCTGTCCCAACTTCAGCAGCTTAATGGCTGCCTCCCCGCCGATGGTAAAAGGGCTTCTTCTGGATCAACCAGGGACTTGCGATGTCCCTGGGATCTACAGAACGCGCCCCTTACTGTCACCGTCTCTACGGGACGGTTTAGGTCCGTTAGGACCAACCAGGAGCGGGGATATCAGCTGCGATCTCAGAGCCCCGAGATTGCAGCTGTATCGCAGCGACGAAGCTCCGCCTTCTCCCCATATTCATTTATGTCTCAAGTCCAGCTCAAAAAAGTGATTTTTCTCCCCTCTCCCAATTTTAGACTCAGTCTGATATGTCAGATGAAGAACTGAATGATGATCTTCTGCAAAGTGATAATGAAGAGGATCAGCATTACAGGTTTGTGTCTTATTTGAGCCAAGTATTGTAGTTTGTTTTCTCTATTGGCACATTCAGAATATTTGTTTGTATTCCTGCCCTAGAACAGCACATAAAAAGTGCTGTCGGGTGTAAGAAGTATTATCTTTGAGGCATTAACCATGACTTTATCATTTGTTACAACATCATTTTATCTATGAGTAGAGTAGAATAGAGAATAGAATAGAATAGAATAGAATAGAATAGAATAACAGTTGGAAGGGACCTTGGAGGTCTTCTAGTCCAATCCCCTGCTTAGCCAGGAAACCCATTTCAGACAAGTATATAAGAATTAAACTCATTTTCGGCTGGGTATTAAAACAGAAAATAATGGTAGTATAGGACCAGATTTCCCAGATGCATTCTTTTCAGAATTGTGGTAACCTCCTCCAAAATTTTAATTGCTTCTAGGGATTCCTTAGGAATAGCTATTCCAATGTGAGTTTATAATTACATAACTTTTCTTTAATGTATATACCATTAGGAATGTAATTATTGCTAAGTGTAACTGATTAAAATAATACTTTGGTTAAATGCTTCCAAGAAGAAATAGGATGTCTGGTTTGCTACATAATCTTAACTGCAAAATTGAATTAAGAACTGCTGTTTTATTCATTTGTGTTAAGAATACACTTGTACAATTATCCCAGAGGTGCTTTTTTAAAAAGGCAACTGGACTTTCTTCATTTTTACTTGAAGATGTTTTGCTTCTCATCCAAGAAGTTCTTCAGTTCTAATTGTGGTTAGAAGCAAAATGTCTTCAAGGAAAAACAAAGGAAGTCCAGTTGCCTTTTGGAAAAAGCACCTGTGGGACAATATGACTTGGATGACTGAGAATCTCCGTAGACATTTGTAGAATTATTCGGCTTTCTAAAAAAAATGAAATAGCTCTGTTGAATTTTTTAGGTACATTGTTGGTATATTTTATCTTTTCACCCTCCTATTTGTTTTAAGTACACATCTTTCCCCATCTTCTTGTTGATGGAGAGAAATAAAATCATTCTACCAATCAGCCTCTGCAAAACTGAATATGTACACTCATACAGAATAACAATATAGATCAATGTGATTGAAATTAGTCCTATTAAAAGATTGCTTGACACATTAAACTAAATAATTGTTCTCACTTTCTCATTTGCATAATGATTCAACCATGATGTTTCATAGAAAAAAATGAGTTACAACCATCTTTAATCAATTCTGCCTTTGCTAAAAGTTTCTTGGCAAAGCAGAATTACTAATTAAAATATAGCAAACCGCATATAATATCTAGATCATATTTCTATTTCTGATATCACACATAACAACAGAACAATTCTGACTCTGAACTCTTTATTCAGGACTCAGCTTGCCCAGAAGTGGCTCACATATAATAATGATTGAATTGGGTCTTTACATCCAGGACAGAGCTGCATGTTTGAGACCTGACTTTGAAAGCATCACTGCCTTCTAATTCGTTCATTTCTGTGACTTTTGCATGTTGTGGTTTTTGGGATTGACAACTTGAATTGGCATTGGGAAAATCCAAGTTTAGTTCCACTTTTGGTCATGGCAGCTCACTTGGTGACTTTGAACCAATCACTCTCTCATCCCACCTACTTGTGGGGAGAAAAATGAAAGAAACAGGATATAAACAGATAAACAAAACCCTGAAAAATCATTTTTGGAGAGAGATTAAAAAGAAACTTTATGTACCACAAGTTGGTATATTTTAATGAACAAAAAACATTTTTTAATTTGCTGAATTAATAGGGTTTTATGGAATTTTTTTTATCAGAACACCTGTGATTCCTTCTCAGAATTTAGGTAGGAGCTATTGACACAATTCAAATTGAACATTTGTTGCTATTGATGCTTATAAGAATTAAATGCAAATTCTAGCATGATGCAGTATATTCAAGCACACCCTTTTAAAAATATTTCTTTAGAGTACCCTAAAATTCAAAAACATTGGTTCCCAGTAATATTAATGTAACTAGTATAATAGATAACTAATATTGCACTAAATGGAAAACAGATGCTGACCTCCTGTGTATATTTGTTAACCTGGGATTTAAAACTGAATGCAACTTGCTCAGTAATCCCACACTTTATATGCCGGGCTAATCTGTTAGAACATATAGTTGGTTTGATCCCTTTGGTCAAATAGCCGTCATTTGATGGAACAGTGATATAGATTTGCATGTTATGAGTTAATGGCATGAAATCAAATTGATGCATCAATTATTATTATTTACTTAATGTGGTGGATATTGTTGCATTCTATGCAAAATTCATGCACTGTATTAATGTTCTGATTTAAACTAAAACCCCTTTTTTTGCTATATTTTAGTTCTCAAGATGTCACTGTGAGTCTTAATGCTACAACTAACGTGGTGACATCCTTTGAGCTCACTGAGAATGCTAATGAAACATCATCTATTGAACAAGACTTAGAATATGAACAAGGGGAAGATGAAATTGGTTATGACAAATCAGATGTTCCTGAAGAATATGCAGAGGAATATTCAGAAGAACAGTATGAAGGCCAAGAGGCTGAGTTGACAGAAGACCAAATAGAATATGGGGAAGATCAGGGTGAAGAAGAGAATTATAATGATGAAGTGCTGGATCTTGAAATCAATGAACCTCTAGATGAATTTCCGGTGAGTTTTTTTCCTCCTACTTTAGTTTTTGAGATAACATTGCTGCACATGCTTAGGTTTTTAGACTGATTTGAAATCTGTTTACCTCCCTTGGGACCAGAGCAAAATTAGACCTATTATCACTGTCTGCCAGTTTCTTTATCTAGGCTGTGACAAAGTTTGTGTTGACAGCTTGTTTGGCTGCAGGTAATGCTCTTTTGTCATTCTGGAAGGCAGTTGAGAATCATGACCTTGAAGATTGTATCCTTAAGGAAGAAAACAGCTTTGTGTGGTGGAGACGCAGTGCCAATTGTTAGAAGTACTTAATGCAAAAGCTTTTATCCAGGCTTTAGACAAGATCTGATAAAGTCCTTCGAAGGTGAAAAGATTATTGACCTGCTAAAGACATCTTTAAGGTGCTAATATTCCAAAGTGATTGATGTTCTGCTCACTCATTTACACCCTCCCCTTTTTTTGTAATTGAGAACTGTCTAAACCTGAATAAAGAGATTTGAGGTTGCTTTAGAACATGTCACATATATAATTTGTTTCAGTTTCTATGTTTTCTGTGTACATTGCTCCGAGTTGAAATGAGAACATGTTTATTGCCATTTTTTAGAAGTATTTCTCAATTTTAAAAATCTAGCAAATGTAAATGGATTTATTGGTCCTTTATCTTTGGTTTAAAGCCTAAATCACATAATGCTGTATGTGATTCTTAGATTCATAAGACATAAATAATTAATGGGAAAGTACATTTCATGGAAAATAAAGGTATTGTATTACTCTCAAATTAATTGATTATTTAATTAAAATATGAAATCCTACATTTTAAAGGAATTAATGTGAACCATTACATCAATGTGCTATGTAAGCTGCCTGGAAGCAATTAATTTTCATTTTATGGAATATAAGGTATATATGGTTTAAGTAAATAGATGTAATTTTTTCCTAGCTTGCATGTTTTAAAAACTAATAATTATAGTAATGCTGATGTTATGTTTTAAATTTCAAGAGGTTTTATCTTCTAAATTATTGATACAAAAAGTAAATAGCTACCTCGTATGGATATGATTTTAAATATGATTTTGGTTTAACCTATATGAAAGTAGTGTTATATTTCACCCTTCATAACCTTTTTATAATCATGTAGATTCCAACTTCTCATCCTTTAAAATTTTAGTTTCAACAAGGTATAAAGTTGTTGTCATGGTTAGTATTATATTTTCTCTTAAGCACCATTCACCATTTAAATCCTAATTCACAGATAAAAAATTAATCTCCACAAATCAGCTTTATATTTAAGGTAGATTTAAGATGCTGGAGATAGAAAATGTACAGAAGTATGGAAGTTTGTGACTTTTTTCTAGTCAGATAATCAGGCAAACAAGTTGAGAAGATTGCATTTATACCAGCCCCTTCTGAATAAATAAGCAGTGATATGTTTAGAAAATAAAATTAGGTTAAATGAAAGGCTTCCTTATGCATTTCTTTCAGGATGAAGATTATGTACAATCTTGTAGTGGAGAACAAGTAATTGAACAACAAGAATATGTAGCTGAAGAAGAGTTAAAAGAGGTTGCTGATACCCAGTCACCTCCAAATGAGTCAGAAGAGGTACTGCAGAAAAGCTGGAACATTAAAAAATCATATTTTAGATAGAATTTTCAATTTGGTATTTATCTTTGACATTGCTTTTCTCAATATTCCTACTGGAAAGTAGCTATAAAGAGAAATTATGACCCTATGCTAACTTTTAGCAGAGTTATATACTAGGATGATCAACATTCCTGAATGCTCATTTTCAGGGAAAAACATGAGATATGAAGGCGAGCGGTATACATGCTTCTTGTGTCACAACTGCTTCTCCTTTTGTTTCTCATTTTTGGCAGCCCTTACAAATAGCGTTGGAGTTATAGAGTCCACTCCAGTCATCAGCCAAATATTTCCTTTTCGTTTCGTATCATATCTGAATTTCTTTAACCCCGTCTGTAGCAGTATTTTTGGGACAAGAAGGAAATGCACAGTACTTTCTCTCTTCTTTACTCTCTGTGACCAGAAATTAAAAACTGCCTAGCATTATACCAGAACTAACTGTTCTGCATTGAAGTGTCTTCTGTTTGATATAAAATCCTTGATCATTTTTCACTTTGTTCTTTGTGGGAACAATGTCACCTTTTTCTAGCATTCCTTATATGTAGTTGAAACAGTTTCATTCATCTGCTCACAATGTTGTCATGTATTATCTTTATTCCATAGACATCACTGCCTATTTGCTAGCAAGTAGATGTAAAAACAACAACCCCAAAACCCCAAATAACAACAGCTCAGTTGTGCTTGAGTGACATTTTAGTGAGCCAGTCTTCTACAGTTTTCTCTTGAGACTTCTCATTCCCTGTTCAATTTGATTTCCTTCTCCGTTGCATCAAAGGAAAAGCAGTCTTAGAAGCTAGTGATGAAACCTGAATCTTGGCCAGATATTTAATATGTGCTGTATACCGTATGCTCCATTCCAAAAGAATTCTGATCCTTGACATTTCAAAACTGGCGGATGAACAGATGCCTTGCTAGAAGATAGAGACAAGAAATTTAGAGTGACTTAAGGCAGCCGTCCATGAGAATACCAGTTACTACCTGAGCAATAAGTTTATTTTTCTGTGATGCATTTATTTTATTTTCCTCTTCTACAAGAGGCTAGCTGCCACTCTTAGCTTTCACTGGCTGTATTTGAGGGAAGGGATTATATTTGGATTTAAGGTTTTCCTCATCCTCAGTTTCTTTTGAAGCCAGGAGTGGGAGCTTTAGCAGGATTGTTTGACAGGCAGTTCATTTTTTTTCCTCTATCACCTTAAAATAAGGGCTCATCATCCAAGTTAGGGTATTCCTTAGAATCCTAGTTGGTTTACTTGGTATTTAAATTCTATGATTTTCTTCTTTTAAGCATATTGAAGCACTTCCTACAACTAAAAACACTGTGCTGTGTAGATTAAAAGTAGAATTGTAAGGTTTGAAAAAATATCTTACAGGCACCATAACTAATACATAGCACTGATTTTTTTCCCCTTTTTCAATCATTCCTAACAGATTAATTTCAGTAATTGAAGAATGTAGCCTACAAGTACCAAAACACTATACCATGCAAACTGTAAAAGACTATTTTATGGCTTTCACCACACAGGAATTTTGCCAAAGTCATCCAGTTGAAAATGATATAATTGTCTTCCACTCAAATGTTATTTTTATTACACTTCCAATAATTTTATTAACTTGTTTACTCTTTTGTTATGCTTTGCGGGAGGTTATTCAGTTACAGAAAGTGAGCTCCTCCTCCTCCACGTGACATCTCCACGCGTTCCCCCAGTTTTAC